TTTCTCTTCATCCCTCTCATTAACCATCGATGGTTAGGGTTAACCATAGGGCTAACCCTAACCCTAACCATCTATACTCGTTAGGAACTTCACTTCAGCAGAAAAAGAAAAGAAAAGAAAAGAAAAGACTGCTCTGTGAAGAACAGTGTGTCAGCAGCAGTGCTGATTCATCATAATCATCAGTGAATTCATCAGCAATCAGTCTGTCGTCTCTCTACAGGAACATCAGGCCTTTGTTCGCAGTGCATTAGCCGCTCCGTCACAATTTAATACATGCTTGACCATAAGATGGCAAATTAAAGATGTTTAAATGTAACCATTTCTTCTGTGAAACACTTGTAGCCCCACACTGTGAGACGGGCAGACATGGAGCGCGCCAAGTGCTGCTATTAAACAGAGACACAAGCACAGACACCTTTCAAAGTCTTCCATTAACTCATTTGGAGATCATATATCTCAGGCTTTGCATTAACTTACAAATGTAGTGCATGTGTGTGTGTATGGCCAAACCTGACAAGGTTTTTAAGTATACGAGGCTGGAATACATAGACCACCATCCCTGAACTAAAGGCCCAGTTTCAGGAGAATTGAAATTTTCATTCAGGGCAGCTTGAAGTGGGGTTTTTCAGATCTGACTTAGTCATGCTGGGATGTGATCTAGTGTGCAAGTGACTGAACAAAGAAGATATAAACCACTGAATTTGAAAATATGAGTGTAAGGTGGGCGTTGTTTGGCGGTCTGGGTTAGTAACTGAAAATGTGTCGGTTTAAACTCTGCAAGGGTCAATCAATGACTATCACCTTTGTTCCATTAAAGCAAACTACTTACCCCCTGTTTTGTCCAGAAGGACTGTCTCTGTAATAAGTGCACTTTGGACAAAACTGCTGAAAAGACCAGCTTAGACCAACATAAATGGCTGTGCTTCTAATGACGTTGGTCAACCATCAGTTCTTGTTGGTTAAGCTAGTTAAGAAGCCTAGTGGGAGCTCCAGCACGGAAGCATCCCTTGTATTCAGGTATGCAGGTTTTTAAAACAAGGTTGCATTTGTCAGGAGAGATTCTTTTAAAGTTTGTCAGGAGGGACTGATTGACAAAAGTGGAGTTTCTCTGAGTCAAAGGAACATACTGGCCTCCTACTAGGCATTTTGAAAAGGCCGTTCTGTTTTAGTAGTCTCCAACTGTCCTTACAGGACTAAAGCAAAAAATGGCTGCCAGCAATCATGATGGTGCTTTTTTATGAGGAAGCGACACCGCTGTGGTATAAACAGGATAGGGAACTGTTGCAGTATGTCTCCTCACTTCCAGTTAATTTCATGGACACCTGTGGGGCCAGCTGGTGAGACGATTTGACTGAAGACTGCTGACAGACCAGCAGAAGGGCTAATGGTGATCCTGCGTCTTTTGCACAAGAAGCGCCAGGCTCACTATGCCATTGCTCCAGGACAGAGACAGATGAAGAGACAAACTGCTGGCAGGTCTAAGGCTCGCTCCTCTGCTGTCTCTCACAGTGGCACAAAGTGTCCCCTTGAGGGTGCTTTTACACTCTCAGATGAGTTTGATTACTTAGTCAAAACCCAAGTTTGATTCCGCTCCACTGCTGTTCTCTGTTCACACTGTACTTTGCAACATAGACTCATTGTAAAAATGTGCCTCTACCCAAATTTTTGCAAAAACCCTTGATGCATAATATCATGTTATGACCTCAAAACACTTTTACCATAGTTCATGATTTGTAAACTAAAACATTTTTATGATTGCATCACATAACCATCTCCATATGGCTTTTGATACGTTATTGCACTTGCGAGGTAAATGTCAGCCAGTGTGTTTTTTTTTTTTTCTTATCTTTTTTTTTTCCACATTTGCTTTTGTTACAACTATTGGTTAGGTTTAAGGTAGGGTTTAGTGTTACGTAATTTTCGAAAGTACATTAACCTTTTAGCGCCACTTACCAGACGTTTAATTTCGGAAAATGTGGACTCAATATTTACAACAACCAATGTAATAAAACGTTCACGTTTCAATGTAATAAAATATTCACGTTTGTCTGTTCCTAAAAAAAAACAATTGAATGCGATTTCAGAACCACTTACTGGATATTCCCCTTTAAAAGTGTCACGAAACACGCAAGAAGCAACGTAATATAATTTTGAACAAATGTTGCCACAAATATTGGTTGGTACTTTAAGTTTGAATAAGAGTATGATTGTGGCATTGATAGGAGCACCACATTGAGTATTGAGTAGAGTATCCCTCAAATTGTTCCTTTGAGGAGCAATTTGCTTATATATATATAAGCAAACTGCTCCTCAAAGGAAAATTTTGGGGACACTTATGAGAAATGCATGCAAAGGCGCAATTTTTTACATGATTAAAAATTTCAGATGGATCACATTCATATCTGTGAAGAACTTTACTAGAGTTCACATGAACTGCACCACCTTTTAAAACTGTTGAGTTTGCAATAACACGTTCACATGAACAAATCAAACCAAACGCTAAAGACAAAAGCTGTAATGTGGAAGCCCCCAGATCTGAACCTCAATCTCAGTTTAGTTTTCTAATGAAACACAGAGTCTCCGTTGCCTTGAATCCGCGTATGTAGCTTGAAATAATAAACAACAAAGTAACATAATGAGTCTACAATAATTCCGACCTTGTGCTAGAGAAAAGGTCAGGTTCAATAATGAAGCACCTTTTACAATCAGCTTCTACAGTACAGAGAACAAACTGCCAACTTTATGCTGCAATGAAAGCACCCAGTTGCCTATCATTGCACAAGTTTCCTTTTAGAATATTCCATCCAGGACACATTTTTAGCAAAACATTTAAGGCAGCACTTCAGAGGCACTTCATCAAACCAAAAGTCTAGGTGTAATTTGTGGCTCATTTCCCACATCGGCATACAGCCGGAATGTTCTGCAGCACATTATCTGAGCAGAGAATCTGAAACCAGCAGACCGACGTTTATGTGCAGCCCCTGTGCTCTTTATCATACCTTCTCTAGCTGTGAACGAGACCATGTGATCGCATTTAAATCAATAACGCAATTTGCTTTCCACGCCGTTATCCACCAACCTATTTCGCCTCATCCCCGGCGCTCTCTTACGGAGCTGTCAGCACTCTGATGGGTGGCGTCTGGGGGGGTTGACGGTATGTCTCTCCCGTTGCGTGCAGATGGTAAGGTGTGTATGATCGGCTGTTCTGTGAGTCTGAGGGAAGCACACGGCAGAAACACAGTTGAGCAAGAGTTTACATGAGCATAATAATACAGATGGTGAATGAGGCAGGTTCTGCGTGCATTCTGACAACAAGAACACCATGTTTATAAGCGTACAGTGCCTCGCCTTGGGTGTTCTGCATGCGAATTGGGGACACCATGTCACAGCACCTGCTGTGTAAGTCGTTTCAATAAGCTATGGTTCACTTTTCAATTATTTTTGTGGAAATGTCACAACTTGTTTTTCGAAGGAAAAGTCAGGAATGGAATGGAAGCAAAACTTTTAACAGATTTTCAAATCTTTATTCATTTACTTTGTGTGGAACCCATGATAGGTATAGTTCACCCCAAAATGAAAATGATGTCATCATTTACTCACGTTCATGTTTTTCAAAAACCACATGGTTTCAAATGGAGATGTTGAGCAAAGGTTCGTGGCAGGTTCAATAATGACACTCAACGCCATTAGTTGTCACATGTTGTCTTGTAAATGATAAAGAAGGGCTATGATGGAAACCAATTTTTGGTCTGTTCTTCACACAAAGATGTGCAGATTACGTATACATACTTTTATGATGCTTATACATCATATTTGGAGCTTGATAATGATCCACGCCCATTCACTTTCATTGTATGAAACAGAGCATCATAAACATTCTTTGCCCACAATCTTCTATTCGTGTTCTACAAAAGAAAATACATGATACAGGTTTTGACTGACACGAGAGTGAGTAAATGATGGCAGAACAATCATTTAAGGAACACTCCTTCATGGAGGCCTCATAACATTCAGCAGCAAGAAATTTTCACAGTCTCCTGAACACGCCATAAAAGCAAGAATCGGCAAATGAATTCAAGCGCAGACAGATCGTCATAGACCACATCATAAACCTTGAGCCTTTGACATTTATTATCCAAGACAATGTTGTCAATGAGCCACACCAGCTTCCCGACGCGGAGGTGTGAGGTGGGAATGAATTAGGTAAATGGCGCTTTCCCTCTCAGCATGTTAAAAACCATCTGGCGGAGATCAGAAGGCTTGATACACAACAGGGCTCTTGTCACGAGAGCACCATAAAGAGATGCCCCAATTGTGTAATGTATGCTTCCTTTACAACCCTGTGCTCCACCTCTACGCTGTAGAGACACACTCCACTCGAGCAGATAGTTTAAAGGGGTCCTATTATGCTCTTTTACAAAGTCTTGATTTTGTTTTGGGGGTGTACTAGAACAGGCTCTCATATTAGGTTGTTCGAAAAAAAAAACATATTTTGCATTATTACAACACCTCTCTTCCCTGTCTGGCATGAACGGCTTGAATAGTTCCTGTATCAAATGAAGGCCCGCCTGCTGAAATGAGCTGCGTTCCAGTTCATTTTTTTATGCCCTTCCCTCCATCTCTTGACTCGGATGTACGTCATTGATTATGTTGCACAAGTGCCCACGAGAGCCACAAATTACACCTAGACTTTGGTTTGATGAAGCACGAGTGGGATAAATTAAACGTGATCTGCAGTGACGTCACCTGTTGCATTGTACTATATGGAGTGGGCGAGTGGCCTGAAGTGAACATATCAAGTGACTCGCTCCCTCTGTCAAAATTGAGGGTCTGTACATATAAACTTCCCTCATCCACTTCACAAAGTGGGGCGCACGTCTAAATGGCAGTGGGGATTCCCCCGAGAGAATCCCCACTGCCATTCGGTCTCATCAAGGACGGAGACGAGTCTGCTTACAGACAGGAGGTTCGGGGCTTAAAGAAAATTTTGAGTTTCCCACTCGTAATAACGACTTTGTGGTGGCGTTCATGTGCGTTCAACTCGTAAATATGATCTATCCGACATAACTTGAACGCACCATACCTACAACAGAACAGAACAGAAGGAGTCTTTCCTGTTACTGTTTGACATTTTAACTTTCATCAAAACACAGTTTGTGAAAGTTACTAAGAAAAATCACATGGATATTTAATGGGCCAAGCACTGAATCAGTTTATGATTGGCTGTTTGATGCTAAACAACCATTATGCCTCCGGCAGTGTAGTTCAAGGTTACCAAATAGGCAAGAATAAAAAATAATTATATGTATAAATTGACAATATTTGAACATTTTCAAGGAACTTTTGGAAGCTGCTGGTATGGGGGCTGGATTATGCCAAGCAGTGGCTTAGAAACTTGAACTAGACAAGTAAAAATGCGGGTTGTGACATTATACACAGGTGGTAAAGCTGACATCTGGTGCCTTCCATGGGCACCTGAAAAAGGTCAGCAAACCTATATGGTTAATCTATATAAGAATCTGGACCGTGGGGTCAAGGCTTCTCTGGTTAACATGGGCCAGTCAGACCCTGCTGCTCGTACCATTTCAGACGAAAAGCATCATTCTCCATTGATGGCCATTGAAAAACAGCTGTGTATTATGACATTGCAAGTATATCATTACGATGGAGTAGATGTTTTATCGGTGACAGATTATTTACACTCAGGCTTCTCCAGGTAATAGACATCCTTAGCTTTGAGCCTCAGACAACAGCTGCTCGTCCTTGTTATCAGAACATTACACAACACCAAAGCAAGAACCACATCACCCACACAGATAGACATGTTTGCCCTCAAGCTCACCTTAATTTACCTGAATGAAATAAGACAGACGGTAAATGTAGAGCTGTCACCTGGCACAGCACATCACATATTCCCCTGAGAGTTGAGCTCCGAGCAAAACACGCTTCACCTGCGGCTCGATATTCACTTACTTTCTACAGCCTACTCAAAAGTTTTTGCACAACTTCTTCAGTCAATCTCTCTCCGTTCCACTCATAACCTACTTAAGCTGTATTTCTATTTTTTTATTTCATTTCTACCTATGTGTGAATGTGAACCCACGCCAGTTCTAGTATGCATGCTAAAGTGACGTATGAGCTTTACTAGTGTACCCATCAATCCTGCTCTCACCATTCTCCACTGACACATGTTCACAATGTTTCTTCTGAAGTATTTAAGACCATCATTTCACCCTTCATTTAGCATTTGTGAGAAGAAAAAAAATATGATTAATCTAAGGCCAGTGTTGTTTTTTATATTTAACAATAATTTGCCTTTCTGAATTTAAATCTCATCGGTGACAACATTATTAGTATTAGTTAATGATATAATCTGTAAATGAAAAAATGTCTTACCTCGGAAAATATGCCCTCCTGTCTGACTCCCTGTGCATGCTGCTATAGTCAGTTTAATGTTTTTCATGTGCCCATTCAAAAAGTATTTTCTCAAAATAAATGCCGTAAGATTTGTTTATTAGTAGTAGTAGTATTAGTACAGTATTAGTTGTTGTTGTAGTAGTAGTATTTTATGTTTAAAGGTGAAACAGATAATGTTGATTTTGAACTTGATTTTCATGTGATCTCCACATAGCAAACGTTGTTTTCTTGAGATCTCGACTTGTTTTCTTGTTTCTCAAGGTAACAACGGGGATTTCTAAGTGCAGTATATACTGCTGCATCCCAAATAAGTGAGTTTGTTTTTACTTTATTCAGGAACTAACTCAAAGTGAAAGCTCTATGTTCATCACTGATAAATCAGTGTCCAATAACTTTAGGCCTCTACTTTATCTTCATAGACACTGTAGTGACTATGAACAGGACAGCCAACTCAAGAGACTGGCTCGTCTGCATGGTTATAGAGTGATGTTTGACAGATTCTGATTACATGGAGTGATATTCAGGTTTTTGTTCAAAGCCCTGCCTTCTATTTGATCTCATTCAATTGGATATATTGGAAATATGTTACAAATTCTGAAGTAAAGTGAGTTGCAACTTCTGGTTCATGCGGACTTTGTTTTTTAAAGTTTTGAAAAAAGAACAATAATGCATGGCCTCTCATGGCTTCCATAGTTTCTCATACTGTGTAATCAAACTGCCACCAAAATGCAACATTGTGAAATTTGTAAAACATTTTGTGTTTGCTGCAACATCACTGCAGCACTGCCAGCTACCGTCACACTGCGCTATTCTGGTATTAGTCAACCTTTTTTGTACCCTGAGGGGACTTCCAGCAGCTCTTCATACCAGCCACGGTTGTCTTGAGTTTCCCATGGATTCTATGAAATATATGATTCAGTGCTTCCAAACATTAGTAGTCTCCAAGTCAATCAACCCCTGAGGCAAGGGCTCCTGCCAGAATGCCAGAAAATCCATCCTGCCCAGAGCTTTCTCTCAATAATCCACCTGAGGGAGGGATATCCTACCACTTTAAAGTCAGAGTCGATGCCGGATAGATACATTACCATTTCTATCCCAATCCATTACACTGGTGGAACACCATCCGAAGAGACACCCTGAGAAAACAACTCATAAGCAGCAGAGGAAAAAGCAGTTGCTCTAGTCCTCAGGCAGCCACTGTCTCCACCATTAAATTAGAGGCAGATAGAAAATCCACTAATTTCAGCTCCGACAAGGATGATTCAAGTGATTCGTATACTGGCAGACTGCAGACATATCCGTTGGCGCTGAGACAGGTCGGGTTTTGGCAGTATCACCTGAAACAATACCGCATTTAACTGCAAAACCACAATTTAATTAGTAAAGTCTTGGTTAGCTCCCGAATGTCTCCGGGAAACAGGAAATTACATCAGATACGGCCAATTAAAGCAAGCCGGACTGAGTGTAAACATTCTGAATATAGCGATCTCAAACTCTCTGACTTGATATTAAATCTGGTTACTGAGAGATGTAAGCTGGAGGCAAGAATTTTTAGGAAACAAGGCCTTGGAGTATTTTAGCTCATACTGTACAATGAAAGCCAGAGGAATGATTTCAATCAGAAGGACTAATACATGCGGTTTCCTCTTTGCCATTCATCCATCGAGGCTAAGACCTCCAATTAATGAAGCTCAAGAGATTTGGAAAGGAGGAGGACCACTTGTAGAAAGACGAGGAGATTATCACTTGGACAGCACTGATTAAAGCATAATCAAAGAGGAAGCTGGGTGAGCTTACAGTCTTTCTGAAGCTTTCGCCTTTCTGGTGCTCATCATTTGGATGATGCTGAGAAGACTCTTGAGGATTCATATGCTGTGTAGTGTTGACGAGACAACTTTGCCATCATGTTAATCAAACCCATGAGGATGCGGCAGGTCTCTGACAGCTGGAGGTGCTCGACTCACCACTTTTAGCTTACTGCTGAGGTACTCTGAATTTGAAATCAGAGCGATGAAATAAAAGAGAGACTGCGAGAGAGGGGTAATTCCTACTGTCAACTAAATTATTCACATGCAATCTTCCAATACTTATTTAGGGCTTAATTAGTAGTGCTTGCTACTGCTTTAGTATGACTAATACTGTTTTTGAAACAGTTCACCCAGAAATGAATATTTTATTTTTATATAATTTCATAACCTGCACTACTTTCCACCATGAAATACAAAAGATTTTTCAGATTTTTCACAATGATAAACCAATGACATCAAACCTGGGAAATGTATCCATGGAGCCATTTTTAATAGAAAACAAGCACGAATGAAACCTTCAAGGTTAGAAATTTCAATAAAGTCCTTAGCATAATCATTAAACTTAACATTAATGATAATTTGGTTTTTAAAGGACAGGTGTGCATATACTTTTCTATGCAATCAGCCTAATGTGCAGTGAAAGATTTACACTGAACTTGAGCCATATTTATATTATAGAGAGATTTGAATTTCAAATACAAAGGGGGCGCTCTGGAGGACCCTCAGGACTGGCTTACACTTGACAGCAGGCCTCTAGAGAGGTACCCATTCTGGGACCCATGGCGGATCAGGCAGTTCAGGAGGCCATGGCGGAGTAGGGAGCTCAGGGGGCCATGGCAGAGCAGACAGTTCAGGAGGCCATGGTGGAGCAGGGAGCACGGGGAGCCTGGCCTCGGCACTCGGCCCGGCCTCCACGGACGGACCCCTACTACCCCCCCCAAATAAATAAAAATCCTTGGGGAGAATTTTGGTTTCAGAGGCCCTCCGTAGGCCTAACTCGGGAACTGTGGCCCTTGACTTGGGGACTGGAGCCCTCCTTGGGCTGGACGTGGGAACTGGAGCCCTCTCTGGGCTAAACTCGGGGACTGGAACCGACACTGGAGCGAGCTCAGGGGTTGGAACCGACACTGGAGCGAGCTCGGGGGCTGGAGCGAGCTCTGGGGCTAGGATGAGGGCAGAGAACTGTCTTTTTCTCCTTATCCTCCTCCTTTGGTTAAGGGAGAACGGCACGGCCGGCTGGCTGGAGAGAGCCGTGGCCAGTGGGCTGGAGAGTGCCGCGGCCGGCGGGCTTGACTGAGGAACGGCCGGTGGGCTGGAGAGAGCCGCGGCCGGTGCGCTTGACTGAGGAACGGCCGGCGGGCTTGCCTGAGGAACGGCCGGGGGACTTGACTGAGGAGCGGCCGGCGGGTTTGGGAATGCCGCGGCCGGCGGGCTTGCCTGAGGAACGGCCGGTGGACTTGATGGCGGGCTGGTCCTGGCTCTCCAGACACCGGAGGATCCCTTCCCTCCAGCTTAGTCCCGTGGTGTCTGGGAGGTCCATGGGCCGATGGTAGTTGGCCCCGTGCCAGAATAGAGAGTTGATGGTGGCGTCATCTAATGGCGTCGCCGCGACGAGCCCGCAGAACTCCGTGGCATACTCAATGAAGGGGAGATCCCTACGGGCTAGGAAAATGAAGCGTGCCGCGATCTCCATGATCACGGGGGGGAGCAAAGGAAAACAAAAAACCGAAAACAAAAACGGGGAGAAGGGGCACCGCGTACTTTTTGTTCGGTGCTGTCTTCTGTCACGGTGTGCCTACTGTGAGGAGCGAGGAACAAGGAACGAGGAGAACGCAGGAGAATCATCATCAACAGTCTTTATTGACATATAGGAAACACACGTAGGACATGGGATCAACGTTCAATACCGGACACTCGACTGGAAACGACACAGGGCTTAAGTAATAAGGGAGATAATGGGACACACCTGGGATCAATAGAACTAAACGGGGAACACCTGGAAACAAATTACATAATCAGGACAGGAACAGGAAGGCCAAACATGGGCATAAACTGAACATGGAGCATGTGGGGGAGGAAAACACAAGACACAGGACTGACAACTATATAGAGCATACTTTTTTAACGGTCAAGAAGTAAGTTCAAATTCATATGTAGTACCTACTCAATCAGTGTGCAATTTCAGGAAACACTGACAGTCTACAGAACTGAAAGTAACTGCTGGACATCTAGAGGAGGTTAAGGCTCAGCACTACTTAACCAGTACAAAGGCAGGGCACAAGAGTTTTAGCTCCATTCAAACAGACAGTCACTGAATAATAGATTATATTTATGCTGTTTTTCATACAAAAGAGCCCCTGCTGATCTAGATCACATTTCAGACTATTCTTAGTTGCTCCATTTATTACTTTTAAGAATTATTCTGAACGTATCTGCTTAAACTCATATTTTTCTTCCCATCTGTCCTTGTCTGGATTAATGTGCTGGGATCTTGGCTTGAGTTCCACTGAATCGTTCTCTTCAGCTTAAAGGTGAATTGTGTAGTTTTTTTTCTTCTTCCTATCCAAGTTTAATGTGAAGAGACAGCTGATGAGTAAGCCTGCAGGTTGACTTCTAAAAGAGAGTGATCAAAAGGAACATCTGAAGTTCTAGCTCAACCAGTAGGGTGTGTTTTATGAACACAACTTTTATGAATCGCCATTGAGCGTCCAAAAACTCTCTTTATTGATTTTTTTTTTTTTTCTCTGAAAGTCTGAGTTACGTGTGATCTTAAACATAACAAGGCTGTGAAAGCAGACTAGTTAGTAGATGAGTTTTCCTATTTGATGTGATGACATTAATTAATGTCCCTGACAACCTCTTTAGTCCCATTTAGCCAATTATTAGCAAATACCTTAAGTTAAAACAATTTTTTTTTAAATCACAAGAGGTATTACTGAGGTATATTATGTTATAGAATAAAACATGAAAATGACTTTAGCTTGTGTTAACCACAGACCTTATTTCCGGCATTTACCAAAACCCATTCAAAAACCCCATTGACTTCAGAATGATGGAACAGGAACTAATTTCTAGGTTTTGTCCTACAAAAATACGTCATCCCTACAACACTTTGTGTTTTGTTTGGTACTAGTAATCCAGAAATTATACACTTCACTTTTTAATATTTTTGACCAGACCCTGTCCTCTGTTTAGACCCCACCTTAGTGTTGGGTGGCTGTACCAGGTGAGCTACTGAGCAACTTTACATTGAAAACCTTTTTACATTGAAAATCTGAAAATCTAAACATAAGTAGCTGGTCACATTATGCAAATCTTAAAATGTATTAGTTTACAAATTATGGACTATGGAAAAAAAGTGTTTTGAGGTCATAGTATTGTGCAAGGAACTGCACAAAAATTAATCGATAATCGATAATTACCTGATCGTCTTTACTAATCGATAATCTACCACTGTAATTTGTATGAAAAGCAATAAAAGTTGGTGTTTTACTACCACTAGCGGTCATTCCAGCTGAAAACTGCAGTGAACTGGTACGCTTTTGCATTTTCACAAAAATGTAGTTAGAGGCACTTTTTTTTCTAATGAGCCCATGTTGATTAAAACAGTTCCCAAGGAGCTTTAAAACACCATTCTTTAGGTACGCTGTCACACACACACGTTCTCTTGCTGTATGTCACCCCTCTCCTGCTATCCCTCCTTATCTGTCCATCTTGCACTCGCATCTCATCTGCTGCACCATCTGTGCAGCTGTGATAAGTGCAGTTCTCCTCCCTGTTGTTCCCCCCAGACCCTTTCCCCCTTGTATTCCTGTTCAACTGACACATCTTCCACTACTGTATGATTCGACAACACTTGTCTCCTGCAGTGGGATGGGTGTGCTATTGTCAGCGTTGGACACACTGCTATTAGACACTGCAATACATCCGCAGTCCAGGTTGCTGCAATACAAAAGCATCTGTTCTGACATGGTATTTTCCACACAATGGCAAAGCACTATGCAGCAGTGATGGCATATAAAATAAGACATTTTGTGACGCCAAAGTGGCCCCAGCAGTTTGAATTTGGAATGCTTTCAAACATCATGGTGAAGACAATTAATAGATTCTACAAAAAAAATCAATTTATATTAAAAATATTCTAGTTTAATTTCATATTAAATGCAGTTATTTGAAATTATTTTTTGATCCACCTAAAAATGACTCAAATACACATTTATATATAATTTCATAATGGTCTTATTACTTTTTGTGTCTTGAAATATAGTGTAATATAGTGTACTTAAGTGGCTTTTTATTTCATTAATGGCATATTATCTGCAAGTACAGTTTTAAAAAAACATACTATATATTTTAAGTACACTACAAGTGCATATTCAATGTTTTTTTTTTTTTTTTTTTACTTAAAAATATATTGCTGACCCTTTTGCCATATTATTATTGTCCCTATATTTGCAGTATATCACATGCTGTCATTATAAAAAAAAACATACTATATATTTTAAGTACACTACAAGTGCATATTCAATGTTTTTTTTGTTTGTTTTTTACTTAAAAATATATTGCTGACCCTTTTGCCATATTATTATTGTCCCTATATTTGCAGTATATCACATGCTGTCATTATAATTTTTAAACTAAACATACTTCTTTTCCATTTTTATAGACAAAATTTGTTTTCCACCAATAGTCAATACAGTACATTTGTATTAGAATACTATGTTAGATCATATTGGTATATTACTAATATTATGTTATAATAAAATGTTGTTAATACTGCATATTTTATCATAGCAAGTTAAAAGTGATGCAGTATGTCAGATGCACACAACAGGCGCGTTTCCATTACAGATTTGCGCAAAACTTTGGCGATATTTTATAATTGTCGATAAAAAAAGTATTGCGAAATGACGGCGTTTCCATTAACCAATGTTATGCGACTAAAACGTAACCTTTTGCCTCTCGCGATAAGTCATGGCAACGAATTTTGGCGGGATTTTGGCTATATTTATTCAAAGGAGGCTTTTGCGTGTATCTGTAAAGACAGCTATAAATCACAGTCGCCTCCCACTGAATGGGCATCGCACAAGATTACTCGGCTCAATCCAACTCATCAATAAACTCGTTTTATCGGCTGGAGAAGTGCACTCCATAAAAACAGCAAGAAACAACATAAATCCTTACATGACACAGCAACACATGAGTGCTATAACAACAAATAAGGATGCACTAATTGCAGGGCATCAATACTGAACCCCAAGACAGGTAAAAATGAGGTATACCGGTTTGTTAGGACCTAGAGAGCTTGAATTGTTGAAAGAGTTTTGACCATGCCAAAAGGCAAAAGCTGACTGCCAGCACTGTTCGTCATGCTGAGTGGCCATAACATGGGTCATTAAAGGCATTAAGGCTAAAGAGGTGAGTGCTTTTCCAAGAAAGCGATAATTTCCACTTTGTGGTTGGAATTCATCATTTAACTTGTCAAAGGCTGTTGTTAAATGTGGCATTTCAGTAAAGTGGTTTTCTACCTGCACAAAACAGCGAGCGGCAAAAATAAACAGGTGGCCATTTAACCTGGAAAGTGATGTTTATACTAATAAAAAATAAAAAATGAACAACTCGAGCTAAACCATGACAAACCACATACCAAATCATAAGCACAAGACGTTCTCAGAAAGACTGTGGAGCTGCAAAAGAAGGGGTTGGACGACCATTTTAAGCCCAGAGTTGTTTAGAAGGGTTGTGCAAAATGCATAATTTACTTCATTTCAATTCATAAATGTGAATTTTAATTAAACGCCTGTTCCAAAAAAAAAAAATTTTAAATCACACTCAGGAGGAATTTCATTAGTCCAAAATAAGTTTACAAGTTACATAATTCATGTTGTCTAAATGCGTATTAATTAATGTGATATTCCTAACTTTAAATGTTGACATAAATGTGAGTGTTCTACCATCATAGTCGATAAAAATTATTTTTTAAATATTATTTATTAATATTTTAAATTTAGTATAGTATGTAATAACTTAATGTAATGAAATATAAATTAAATACAGTTAGGTGCACAAAAAAAAATTTAGGGTAAAGGAATGCACAAAATTAATTTATCTTTATTTTAGACACATATTTAGTGGAATTTAGTCAATGTTTTTTAGTGCTCAGTTATACTGAGTAAATTCAAGAATATTCAAGTTTGTGTTTTTGAGTGAGTGGAAAGTCCTACTAGTGTTTAATGTTCGGTTATGTTGGCACAAAAAGGCAGAAGTTAATAAAGTCACTGCACTGACATTACCACAAATATTGTTCACTGAATGAAACGTCTCGGTTACGTATGGTAACCCTCGTTCCCTGAAGGAGGGAACGGAGACGTACACATCAGAAACTCAATGGTAAACATTAACAGGTCTGTCCGTTTACCCGAAAATGCATAAAACACTTGATTTCAACATTTACTCTCCAAATACAGTCTTAAATAAAGTATGCTGACAACTAAAAAATAAAAAATAAAAAATCCACAATCCAGTTTCAGTTAATGCAACAAAAATGATTAATGTAGTTCAAACACAAATGGAATAAGTAAACTTTACTTTTACATAGTTTAGTGAACTGAACACAATGATAATAATTCTAGACATTCATTATAATTAAAGCATACTTTTTTTTTCACAAGGGGTGCCAATATTAGCAGTAACCTTTCTCTGTGTTGAACAACAGTTGTAACACAATGTTCAGCAACTGTGTTGCTTTAGTAAACTCAACAAGCAGCAAAACATGGATTTTTTTGAGTGAGGCATTTCAAACTTTAATAATTATTAACATCTAAAGTTCCTGGAAAACCTCATTTGTGGAGGTTATGACAACATGTTTATACCCAATTTATACTGGAAGTTCAACAATCAAATTCCCAATTCATTTTGATTATTGGCACAACCCTGTTGTTTTGCTCATCTAACATAAAGCAATAGCCGAGGCGAAGTGGCCTTTGGAATATCAATGCTTTCAATTCAGAGTCAACTTAAAAGCCTCAAAGAGAGAAAAGCAGGTCGAAAACAGCCACCATGCATGTCAATGCCCACAACACAAACATATTGATATTTGAAAACTGAACTATGATGAATGCGATAACAAAACTTAGAACACAGGTCCTTGGGTGAAGAGGTGCAGATGAAAAGTGATCTGAAAGACTCAAATTATTTTCCAGATCGATGTGGCTTTATTTAGTGTGTGTATTTAGATTAAAATTGGTTTTTAGAATCTACTTTTTCAGCTATTATCTCGTCTCTAATTCTTCCATTGTAATGAATACCAAATGGTCCAGAGGCCACGGCCAATCAATGCAGCTCTGCCTGATCTCTCTGCGCCAGCTTGGTTTATTCAAATGCATCTGAGGTCAATGCACTTAAAGGAAAGTCAGTGATCAAATGAAGGGCCGTGCACAAGTGTGTTTATACAGGACTGTAGTAAGCTGAATATGTAATGCAGCTCTCGCATATTCATGCTTAAAGAGAGAGCTATTGATCTGATTAGCTTAGCGTGGCGATTGGTTTGTCCTGATAAGCAGTCTTTTTCTCACCTCCTCTATCTCTTTGTGTGGTCGGAGTGGGAGAGGTGGTGGGGTGAGGGAGGGATTTCTTCCTGTAGCAGAGCCCTGAGCCACCACTGGATGTAATGAGGTCCATGTGGACATGTGGGAACAAAGATGAGATTATAAAAACAGATAGAGGGTCAGAACCAGGAGACCTTCTCAACCTTCTCCATCAAGAATCGTAAATCTTCAAAGATCTAGACTCTTAGTTTTCACAGCGCCTTACAGTCAGCGTATATAGGACCTCCCAGAAATCTTTTGGGTCATGAGCTCTCAATTCCACTGGCAGGTTATTATTAGTAGGCTATCACGACTCAAAAATATGAATTCAGGTTCCTGCTTTTTACAGTGTAGTGTGCTCTGGTAAATTGCATCATTTTTGAACCCAACTGTTATAGTTGTCACAAGATGTGTTTAAAGATTAAATATAAATCTGAAGATGTATGCAGCAAAATAATAAATTTTAGAACTAGTGAACCCAACTGTTACAGCTACAATATAAGAATTTGTTTTAAACTAAGAAATCTGAACAACGTATGCTGCAAAAAATAACCATCATAAGGGTCTCTTGTGAAAAAGAATACACTTTATCATACTTAAATAAATATTTACTTAAGGAAATAGTCAAATTTAGGGCTTTCAACGTTAACGCATGCGATTAATTTTACAATCCATAACGCGTTAAAATAATTTAACGCAGTTAAAGCAAAATTACTGAAGCACAATTTCTATTCTAACCCTTTAACCCAATTTTGCTTCTCTGCTTGCGATCAGATAATTTTAAGCCGCTGAACTCTGGGAAAGTTTTCAGTCCAATGATCCAGTAAGCGAATGCATTCAAACAATCCGTCCAAAACAGCGCTAATATAAAGGAAACCACACATGCAAACTATGTTTTCTCGACTGGACAACCAGTGTCTCGCTAGTAAAATTTTGATGGATGAAGACTGCAATCAAAGTAAAGATGATTGCGGTGGTGTACAGGAGTCGTACAGTAAGCACGCGTTAAGTCCGTTATAGGCTAATAATGTGTGTATGAGTGCTCTTGACGCACTGATCGCACATTGTATTTATGCACAGGCACAGACATTTCCGTACATTCACGCTGTTTCCACACACATTCACGATAATGTTTTGATTTGTCTTTTGATCTGTCATGTTTATGTTGCTGTCTTTAGTTATACGGAATGGATCCGTGTACTGTAGTAGATATATGCAGTCAGCAGGCGGTTGGTTTAGGGTTTTTTTGGCATCTCCATGTGGTCTTGTTCGGTATCGCAACTTGACTTCTCTAAACTGTTGCACTGTACACATACTATACAATTCTGAATTTTTTTTTTTAGCATTTTTTTCTTTCATATGTGCTTATATGGGCTCCTTATATCATTTGGTTCTTTGGTGTCATTTTTTGGAAAGACATCTAAATTTATCTTGAAAAAAGTTTGCAGAAAATACAGGTTTTTGAGAGACTTGAAATACAAGTCTTTTGGTTTACTTTGCTGGACATAGCAAATGATGACAAAATAAGCATTTGAAACAAGATAAATGGTCTATGCTTAATTTCATGAAGTGTGCGATTAATCGTGATTAATCATTACTTCGATTAAAAATTTTAATCTATTGGCAGCCCTAGTGAAATTTAATAGAATATACTCAAGTGTGAACTGGATGTAATATTTTCGGATACTAAATTACATGTTATTTACAATTGAATTAAAAATATATTATAGTTTAAATTTATACAAAATTTGTTTATCTTTTTTTTTACTTGTAGGAGTTTAAGGGATAGTTTACATAAAATGGAAATTCTGTCATCATTTACTCACCCTCAAGTTGTTCCAAATGAGTTTTTTATTTCTGCTGAACACAGAAGAATATATTCTAAAGAATATGGGTAACCAAACCGCTTCTGGTCTCCATGGACTTCCATATGTTCCATATTATATTATGTATGTATTTATTCATTTCTTTATTTATTTCTAAAAATAAGTTGCTGCCTTAAATTTTTTTAGTACAATCGACTAATTTTTAAGTACAATCAAGCTGTTTAATTAATTTCAACTTAAATTACATTAAACTGACTTAAAAATTAGTTGAACCTTGTACAACTTATAAAATAAAGTTAAAAATTGTTTAACTTATTTTGATGAGTCACAGTAATGTAAAAATATGTTGTCATAACTTATTTGTCATTTTTTACAGTGTTATTTCCCCATACTATGCATGGAGAATGGGGACCAGATTACCCAGAAACTAGATTTGGAACAATTTTTTTTTGGTGGGGGGGGGTTGAACTATGCATTTAAATACAACTTTATATGTAATTTAATAATTCTATTGTCTTTGAAGTATGATTAAAGTGTGCTGCAGAATGTACTGACAAGCATGTGTCACAAAACAAGAAAATATATACTTTAATGTAATTTCTATTGAAACTTTTAAGTCATGTATTTAAACATTTATATTACACATTTGTAAGTTGGGAAAGCACATTTAATATATATTAACTCTACATGTAATATCAATTAACACATTAGTAAAGCACAACAAAATATAAAAAATCCATAATTTTCTACACTGAACACCCTAAAATGGCTGGCTTCAAGGGCTTTGTTGTGTGAGAACAGCATGCGGCCATCTTTGATAAAAGAATCCATTTGCCAATCAAATACACGCCGATAACCACAATAAAGCCTTATGGTGTCTCACATGCAGCTCTATTCTTATTCACCACATCAGGGATTCGTTACTCTAATAATGTTCCCACAAAGAAAAACTGTCCCTCTCCTCAGCTCCCTTTCCTCCCTTACAAATGGATCCACCTCCTCTCAGCGCTCTGATTAGGTTTTCCTCGTGCTGAAGACGTTCATAATGTGTGACTTATCACAATGAGCTGACTCTGAGTGAGCCGCTGCAGACAACTGGCGCGTGGAAACAACAACAGCCGTCAGGCTTCAGGATCCTCATTTAATAACATAGATATGGATACACCCTTATAATCTCAAATGGACCACTCATTGGCCTACTGAAATCTGTAGCAGCATAAAATTCATTTTCAGCAGGTTATCATTAGTGTAGGTGTGTAGGAACTGAAGTGAGGAATTTCTGTGCGACTAATAGCACCAAACGGAATTGCAAACATAATTTGATTTCTGAAGAAAAACTTGGCGCTTGTCAGTGCAAATATGGCTACCATGATGCTAGCGTGTTGTGGCAGGGTGTTGCTATGCTAATGCCAAGGTGTTCATTGTCTGTTGCTATGTGATTGCTGGCTGGTCCAAGTCGAGCCCAACTTCAATGTAAGTCTATGGGATGTTTTCACCCATTTTATTATTCTCTAGGTGAAATGTATAAAGGTGTAATCATTTTTACCATTGTTCAAACACATGTTTGTGTGAAGATCAACCAATGAATGCCCAGTTTTTCTTTGCACTTTAAACTAGGAGTATTTTCACAGAGAGAGAAAAATGAATAAATCAATAAACTCTTCACCTTTATCATCTAAGTTGGTAACTGAAAGGTCACAGGGTTTTGATAGAACCATGAACTATATTTTGCCCTTTAGCAAAACACCCAAATCTACATTGTTCTGAATCATTTCTGCAGTACCTTTTGAGCTCTGTAACTTTTAATAACAAATATGCTTGTGATGTATTTTCAAACGTCACCAGACTTTTAGAAATATGCTCTGAACAAGACGCTTGAGTTATAACATCAATTATAACTTCAACTAGTGCTGCACGATAAATCGAAATGGAATCGAGATCGCGATTCGACAGAAGCTGCGATTGTCATGCGTATCTTTCAGTGAAGCACGGTTCTGTGATCAGCAGTAAATCTCCATCCAAAGGCCAGAGGGCGCTCTCACGCTGAAACTCCAAATACGCCTCGCAGAAGAAACCCAGAAAATGCCTATCGCTGCAGCTGAATAAACAGAAGATTCAACTGCTTTCATTGATTCAACGTGACTAATAAACACACGACTACGGCAATATACGTATACATATCTTATTATAATTTTCATTAAAATAAAGTAGATTTATAATGCAATGCCTTTATCCCTGCTTAAATACTATTAAATATGTTGCGTGCCTTATTCTGTGTAAGAAGCCACATCATCTCACAGAAGGATTTATTTCAAACACTCAACTGA